AAATCGCAACAAGATTGTTCATTTTTAAATTTAACGAACTCGTTGATTGAAATTAATGTTGACAAAAATGCAACCGTGTGCCACAATCCTGCTTGCAAATTCTTACTGGCAAAAATTTTCCCAGCACGAATTTGCAACTTCCCCTCCAAATGAAATGTCAAAATTGTGCTCTCTCCTTGCAAGTTTTACTAAGTTTTTGGCTAAACGAACACGATTTGGTAACAATTGGTACCAACTTGTACAAATTTTATTCATAGCGAACACTCCTTATGTAAAATACTCACTTTTGCGCCATAAGTTTTTTGCATTAAGGTATCCACACACCTAGGCGATTCTGTCGGTGCGAATCTGATCCGACAAAATTTACAGCAACGCCGACCATAGTTTTAGATCAGGAACCACACACTTATACGATTTTGCTGCAGCGATTTATTCGAACATTCACAGTTCTTCTCTTTGTCGTGCAGAAATCGCAGACTGCCGCGTTTTGAGAACGAAAAAGGTCAATAGAAGGATTTTACAATATTAAAACCATATATGTAATACTCCTATATTGGCAGTAAGAGCTAGTACCGTCCGAAAACACTACAGTAAAGATATATCAATAAACACGTACGAAAGAAAAGGAACGCATACGTTTATAAATAAACATGTACACAACCCATATACAAAAACGCCACTCAAATACACAATACATTGACAAAAACGGTACTACCCAGCAAACACAGTTTCAAACGTTTGAGAAAAATATATTTCTCAATTTGATATTAAATGTTTTTCTCAAATGATTCTCAAATTGAAAACGTGGTTTAAATTTTACATTTGAAGTTAATTTGAGGTTGATTTGAAGAAAGATGGCAAGTGTCAAACGATATAAAATGCGCAGTTAAATCAAAAATTGTAAAAATAAAACTAAGATCAATTTAAAAAATACAATGAATAGAAACAAATTTTCAAAGAGAAAGCCCACAAATAGTGGATTTGATGTTTGCGCGGATTGAAGAAGCTGCAGCCCTTCAAGACAAATTTATTATAAATTACTTTATCTTAATTGTTTAACATACATATGTACATCGCGAAGAAAAAATAAATATGAAACATACATTTCCTATAATAAATTTTATTTCCACATTTGAAGTACAATTGATAAATAACCTTTGAAATCGATTTGAGAGTTAAACATATTCTCAAATGGAGATCAAACTCCCCTTTTTATTGAGAAAGCTGTAATTTTCAAATCAATATCAAATCATTTTCAAACGTTTGGCATTTGAAAAAGGCTTCTCAAATGTATATTAAACCTAATTGTTTGCTGGGTAGACTGCCTCGCTTTGATTTCGGAATGCTTACACATTGAGAAGTTAGCTTACTGCCAATATAGAAGTATTACATATATGATTAAAACAAAATTTAACGTAAGAAAAAAAAACATATTTGAAAAGTTAAGGGTTTTATATTTTGTGGAAAAATATTTTTTGGGTGTCTATAAATTGACAGTTTTTATTGCGATAAAATCGCACAGATGTGTGCGTACTTGCGTTTTCGAAGCAGTAAATCACATGCTAACATTGGCTATCCTTTTAAACTATGTCCAATGCACTCAATAAATATCCCAGTAATATCTCCCGCTGATGTATTAGTTTACCTGAAGTCCTTAAAGAGGTCCTTCAGTTATGGTCCTGACCAGATCAGTACTTGTATTCTTACAAATTCTGATGATTATCTCTATGAACCGTTAACAGCGTTATTTAATTTGTCTCTTAAGGAGGGCGTTTTTCCAACTAGATGAAAGGAATCGTTCATAACGCCGTTACATAAAAGCGGCAGCAGATCTTCAGTGGAGAACTGCCGGGAAATAGCTTTCTGCAATTCCTAAATTATTTGAAGCAATTATAACAAATCTGTTGCCGCATTCTATCTCTTCTAGCATTTCATACAGTCAACAAGAATTTTGCAAGGGCAAATCAACTTCTACAAATTTACTTGAATTAATATCCTATATCTCAAAAGCATTTAGTGAAAGCAAAACTGTTGATGTTATATATTCTGACTTCTGTAAAGCATTTGACAAAGTGTGCCACTCGTTGCTCATCTATGAACTTGATCTTCTTGGTCTTCAACCTAATTTTCTACGTTGGATCTCTTCATACCTTATGATAGATCACAAAGGGTAATGTTTAAAAATACTATCTCTGACGTCATTAATGTTACTTCAGGAGTTCCTCAAGGTAGCCACCTAGGCCCGGTTCTGTTCTTGCTTTTTATAAACAATATTTCTACAGATATACAACTTTTCAAAATTTTAAGGTATGCAATTGATGTAAAGCTTTATAAATCGTACGTTTCAATTAAAGAAAGGTCTTTGCTACAATCAGACTTAAACAGCATGGCTTACTGGTTTAAAGTAAATCTTATGTCTCTAAATCTTAAGAAATGTAAAGTAATGTGCTTCTCGCGAAGAGCTGTTCTTATACAATAGGTAACCATAACCTGGAACAGGTATACAATTTTGTGGACCTTGGTATCACAATGGATCCTTAGCTTAATTTTAATCTTCACATTATTGTGACAGTAAACAAGGCTAAAGGTGTACTTGCATTTGAGAAACGATGGTCAAAAGAATTTTGTGACCCTTATATCACTAAACCCCTTTTTAAAACATCAGTTAGACCGATTCTGGAATACGGTCCGGTGGTTTGGAATCCAAGGTATCAAATTTACTCTGACAAGATAGAATCAACTCAAAAACAATTCCTACTTTTTGCTTTAAGAAATTTCCGTTGGGATTCTCAATATAACCTTAGCCTTATACGAGCCGATTAAAGCTGAAATTAGTCGAGAACGCAGAACGTATACTTAAACGCAGTCTGTATACGCAGAATTTTGTCGATTACTGGAGCCCTCAGTGTTGCTTACTACACTGTTGCCACTCATCAATGCATTTTCATAAACTTACCTTTTCAACTACAATTTTTCGTGCTATAATAGATTTTAGCTAAATATAAACTACTTAGTTTTCAACAAAAACCTTATTCAATAGTAAATTTCAAATATTTTAAACATATTTTGAATAGGAACTTATATCTTTTTTACCATCTGTAAAACTGACGAAGTGGCAACCATCTAAAGAAGGAGAAATCAGCTGACACGGAAAAATCTAAATTCCGCAGATTTCTGCGCTACGGGCTACAATTACAGAAAAATTCTGCGGTGTTGAGTTTTCATTTACATGGCGCTTTGGTAAGACAGATCGTGTCATCTGACTCGGGTTTATGTACCGGTAGGTTTACGTTCTTGACTAATTTCAGCTTAAAACTTATTAATCTTGCTACACTTGCCAGTCGCAGGCAAATATATGGTACAATTCTTATAGTTAAATTACTGGCAGGCTCAATTTAAAGTCCGCTTCTTCTGGCTGAAGTTAGCCTTAATGTTCCCTCCCGGGTATCAAGACACTTTTGTAGCCTATTTCTGAAAGCTTGTAAAACTAATTTTGAATTGCACGACCACTCGGTTGCTTATGCCAGGATTTTAACTCTCATTCCAGCACGTTTGATATACCAGATCCGCTTTTCAGTATTAAGAAAGCGGTACTCTCTTCTCTCAATAAATGAATTATTAACATAAAGACATAAAATCAGCTGATGAATTTAGTTCTGTAGCTGAACAGTTTTAGATCTCGACACTTAACAAACTCCTGCCTATCGTGACTAAAAATTTAAAATTCTGGTTCCGTACGTCATGCGGACTGCGCCCCTCGTGCGGATGGGCGGGAATGGAGGGTAAAAACCGTTGGGATTATTATTATTATTATTCATTATAAACTCACACATGAGCAATCAACACACTAAATTTAGCAACGCAAAAATAAAAAAATAAAAAAAATAATAAGTCACATTTTTAATTGTTAAAATTTCCCAATTTTATTTCTGAATTATATGCATATTTGGCTAGAAAATATGTACGGTGGTCCTTTTTTGCATTTACTTAATCAACATATCTGTGTTCGTATGGAATAGTAGCTTATGTCGAAAGGCTGGCTTTAGTATAATGCAGCATTCGCATCATACTCACTGGCGCCGAGCCGTTGAAGAACTTTTGGCAAACAAACGTGAAAGAAGAAAGTCAGGCCTATCACAGGATCCATTGTAGCTTCAATTTTCGTGAAATCTACGAAAGTGCTATCACAGAGTCCGAATGGCTACGAACGTAAATTCGAAATTCGTACAGAGCCTTCATTGAATCCGTTCGTTATGAAGATTCGTACAGGTACTCCACGACGAGTTTATGCTGTCGGAACAAAATTTAAAAGCACCGGCTATTGCGACTGCTGGGGCAGCGTGAGCAAAACGGCATACATAAATGTCTATTCTTTCCTTTGCACTAGCTGATTTCGAATCAGCATTCGAAGCAGGCAACGATATTTTCGAGTTCACTCGGATTCGGTGATAGCAATTTTTTCGTATTCGTAGCAGACATTCGAATTCGTAGATTTTCTACGATTAAGTCTCATCAAAATATGTATTGTCGTTTAGAGAACACCCAGCAAACATTGAGGCTAGTTATCGATTAGAGAATGATTGGAGAACTAGCCACATTCTCCAATCTCAAACGTTAGAGAACGACTGGAAAAACTACCGAGAAGCATAGCGATCTCAACAAAAATGGGACATAGTTCTCGACTCGAGAAAATATTAATTCTCTAATCGAATTCTAATGTTGATCTCTAATGGGATTCGAATGTGAATTTCAAACTGCTGTTTTGTTTTATTTAATAAAACGCATTGTTTGCAAAATTTGTATTAAATATATTCGCAATAAAATAATAATGGATTATTTGAACTTAAAAATAATTTTTAATTGGAATATTGGTTATTTACATTTATTTGAATTTGCGTTGTTTCTCTTATCGTTCTCGAATCGAATTCAAATGTAGTTCTCTAACTTCGTCATCGACTCGACAACGATTAGAGAATTACCCTAGTTATCTAATGCAGAAATCCAAATTTCTCTAACGTCAGACTAACTGTGTTTGCTGGGCAAAGGCAATGCCGCACTATACTAAAGCCAGCTTCCTGACATACGAACACTGATATGTAACCTGTAGCTCGCTTCTGTAACTCTTCTCTACCGATTATTTATCTACTGGTAGAGAATATACGTCATTCTCTACTACTCATTAGCAGTAGAGAACAGGGCGGCGAATTCATATCTCAATTCGCCTTGGTAGAAAATTGTTACAGAAACGAGCTACTGATGTTTGTTAATAAACCAGCGAAAATTGTGTGACCGAATAAAAACTGTCGAATCATGCGAAAGTTCGAACTAATTGAGAATTGCCCACATATGTATGTAAAAATTTAACTTAAAAAGTGTATGATGAAGCTGAACTTTTCGTTAAATTTGATTGGTACATTTGAGACTTCGCCAACCACAAGTAGGATTTTTTGGTCATACTAAGAAATTGTATTTTCCTCAATCTACATATATAGACATATATAACGTAAGAACATTCTTGTATGATACAATTATTTAAATACATAATGCATGTGATATATTAAAGGTTTGATGAAGAATCTATTGCTGCTTCTGATACTGTTACTGAACTGTTTTTTTCCATAGATCGTTGACGTAACAAAATATTGATCAAATCCAAAAGGTCGGTATCTTTTAAAGTGATATTACTCAATAGTGTATGTATAAGTTTTAAGCGCTCAGCGTCTTGTTTACAATGTTTTAAGATATCCGGAATCTGCGAAAACAAATTTGCTCTGCAAGACGTATTGATTTTTGATTTTTCACATACGTATTCAATAACAGAGGGTAAATTTAATCGATCGCATACCACTGATGCAAGATTTTCTCTTATTGCATGATCTAGGAAATCCTTAGAGTGATTTTCTGAAAGAGCTTCGAGGACGTTTTCTTTTATTTTAGCTTCGCCACTCATTCCTCTCGATATCATTTTCGCCATTGTATTATAGCACTTTAGTTTTGAATTACTTGCAGATTCTAAATATTTTTCTAATAGTTCTTCCAATGTATATCTATGAATCGCTATTTCAAGTAGATTATTCGAACATCCCAAGTCAATACTAATATCCACCGTTGCTTGATCATAGGTATTATGAGAAAGTTCTTCTGCTGCAAATTTCTCGCTAGGTTTATTTTCATCCGTCACAATATCCATGTCATCATCCAAATCTTCCGATTGAACCTCGGAATTAGTAGGTAGATCTTGTGCTTTGTTAGATTGTTGAGATGCAAATTTCTCGATTTCAATAATGCTGTCAAGTTTACTTCGCCGCTTTAGAGTATATTTATTTTCTGAGGCTCTCTCAGCACTCGATTGAATTTTGTCCATAATAAGGCAACTAAAGAGGTGTAGTGGTAGGAGAAAGTATTAAAATTTGTGGTCAGTTTAAAGTGTTTATTTATGCATCTTGCAACAAACTTACCGTTTAGGTTTAGTTTTGTTTTCATCATTATACTTAATATATTCCTTGGTAACTGAGACTGGAGGGTCATGAAAACTAACTCTTTTCTTTTTGCAAGCTGGTGAGTCCAAAGCTATTTCTTCAAGGCTATCTCTGCGAAGACTTCGTTTCAAAATGCTAGTTGAAGGGCTGGCAGAGGGAGAAGGGAGCCGTTTAGTAAATGTTAGAATATCTTTAGCTTGCAGCGGTGTTGATGTATGCTCTATTACATCCACATCCGATAACGAGCGATCCATGCTATCATTCTTGGCCACAAACAACCTTGGCATCGGAGTTTGTGGAGATTGTGCATCTATTTTTCTATTACGTATCATGTTTATCAATTGCGCTCCTCGTCCAGTTAGGTGTGCCGGTGGTTTAGGACGTAATTTCGGACTGCTGTTGTTATTTGTTAATTTGCGATCAGGTGGGGATAGCTACAAAAAAAAACACACAGTTAAAGGAGACAGACATAAGCGTTAAATACACACGTACCAAGAGAGAGTTTTTCGTAGACGACTTTTTGGGAGAAATTTCTTTTAGTGCTTCTAAAGCAGAGGAAGTATTCGGCAAGTCCAATTTGTTACTCTGAATACCATCCAAGTTTTGGTCATGACGAATATCATTGGAAATAACTTTCGGTGCATCATCAGGTATACCTTTGGGTGATTCCTGCACTAAGAAGCCAACAGAAGAAAAGTAATAAAAATTAGTTAAATTACAATAATTTTGGTTAATTACACTGTGCTACACAAAAAAATATGCAGGGCTTATCATATAGAAATTATGTTTTGTTATACAACTCCAAGAAGTTATAGCTTTGTTGTATTTCGGTCGAATTTAACTGGGATTTACCTTTCTAACAAAGAAAAAAGTCGGCTGGAGAAAGGCTTAGTATTCGTATTTTCATTAAAAAAAAAACGTAAATTTTTCAAAAAAACTTTCATTTACCCACGCTCTTATTCGATTGTGAGGCAAAAAAAAAATATTTGATCTTCATAAAAAAGGACATAAAATCAGTTTTCCAAAAGTCATAAGTAAATTATAATCGAATAAATAAAATTATAGTTTAAAAAACTAAAACCTCGCTCTTATATTTTCATTCGTACTGTCATAAAGTATGTAACTTGGGACTAGAAATCGCTGCATCTTTTAGGCGCATCAATATTACATAGTTACATCCCGAGCTAATAAAAGGGAGGTAAAAATGGCTTAGTAATGCTTTATTCAGTGATAGTATATCTGTGCTTTCCTTTTTTCCTATAATGTTTTCGTTTTTTTTTTAATGCATTTTAGTACCGTTATCGATTATGTACGTACATATATATGTGCATACATATAAACCAGAGGTTCCCAAACTTATTTTTCTCGTAGACCCCTTCCAAAACTTTACTGGTTTTGGTGGACCCCCTGATGCTCATTTCTAACATATTCCCAAAGCCCCTCAAAAAATGTGAAGATTAAATTTAACGATATAAGTTTGCATCGCGAGTGAGTTCCAAAGCTAAATTCGTAGTGGCAAAAATAAAAATAAATATTTTCTTGTGTTCTATTTATTTATTAAAATAATATGATTACACACTTGTAAGTTTAAAAAAACAGAGATCGTAAAGCCATGAAAGAACTATCTCGCCCTGAGGAGTTATATTTCTTAAGAGCATTAAATAAACTCCTCACATGTTCGGCTCACTCATGAATTTGCAAGTGATGTATTTGTCAAACAGTTTATTTGTGTTGATGGCATCATGATGCGAAAAATATTCGCCACGCGCATTTTTAAAACATAAAACTGCAAAGCTTTTTACGCCAAACTTCAAATTCAGAAACTGACAAAAAAGAAAAGACCGAATCTAGATAAATCGATGATAAACAAACAAGCAAGCAAGAAGCTCCAGAAGTGTTCCACCGTTTCATCCTTTTCACAGCAGGATGGGCAAATGGAGTTGTCATTTACGCCTATCACAGTCAGGTGTTTGTGCCACGTGAAGTGACAAGTCAGAAGTGCCGTCTTCTCTGTGAAAGGAAAAAAACTAGATAGACCTTCTGAGTCTGAAGGCAACATGAGTTTTGCCCACCAGCATCCACTCGATGGCTCCCAGTAATTGCTGAGCGAAGTATCCACCTAGTTTCTGATAGTGGCTTCGATGGTCAAAGTGGGGAGTGCTATGACTGGTCGCGGATCGAGGAATGACTGTTCTAAGCCAACTGTGGCCAAAGGGTCAGATGGCTCATTTCCAGGCACTCCCGATTTCCCCCGAACCCAGAGTAAAGCAAGCTCGTTATCTTAACCAACATAATTTAGTCGAGACTCGCATTGCCGAACTAGTTTGGAAGTACTCAGATAGAGGGCTGGCCAATGACTTAAGTGCAGCTTGGCTGTACCGTTGACACGTAAACTCCTTCCCCTCCAGATCCTGACCCTGAGTCAGTTCTAGAGCCACCAGTGAAGATTCGACAATGTACGAGTGCGGGCTTAGTGCTGGAATTAGACTAGCATTTCCCCTCAAGAAACCACTCCCTCTAGAATCTCTTCAACAAAGGTAATGGTGGCGTACTATCCTGTAGATTTGAAAAGGCACAATTGTAATACCAACATCCGCTTCTTTTTAGTCTGCAGGTGGCCACGTATGATGACACAAAGTGACGGTAAGTTCACCAGTACGTCAAGAGCACTATACACCACTCACAAAATTTAAAGTTAAATAAATTGGCTATCAAGCAACCATTTTGGTTCTTTGCTATCGAAACCAGATGTGATGACGAAACACAAAAAAAAACATTTCACAAATTACAGAAAAGATCGCTAGGTATTAAGAAGACTTGTCAGCACCATCCATACATCGTGCGGAACCTAGCTTCGCTTCTCCTGGCTCTGGTGAGATTCTCGAGTTACCCAATAATGGAAATTTCTGTGAGATGCTGGAACTAATAGCTCAGAATGATCCCCGGACATCTCAAAAAATTCGGAAGTAAGGGATGAAGGTACGTGAATTAAATCTCTGAAATAATATCTCTGAGGGGTGAGAAAGTACAGGCAGAAATAGTAAGCGGGATCAAAAAGACAAACTATTCATACTATTCCATCTCTGTTCATATACTGCTATACTGCTTTTTAAAAATATCTTGAGCTCGCTGTATTTCAACTTTAGCCTACGCTTGTGCCTTTTAACTTCCAATTCAAAGTCATCTATCATCTCCTGCTCCAGCAATGAGATAAACTATCGCTGCTTTTGGTTTGAATTCTCACACCAAACATTAATTCAAACGCCGACTTTTTTTGGAGCAATTACTATGGGAGTTTATTGCTTTTTGGACTTGTGGAACAAACTTGTACCACTTAGACGGATCTTCTGCAGACAGTTTCGAAACGACAGAGATAATAGATCGATTGATACATTGTTGTTGTTGTTGTAACAGCATACAGATTCCCCAAAAAATTTTTGGGGAGTGTCCTTGGCCAGATATAAATCTGGGTCGTTCCGGTTACGTAGACCCGACTGTCATGGGATCGATCGATTGATACGTTCGATTTGGCCGTTGCCACAGGCAACACCCTTGGTAGACCAAACCAAACATTTTCTACACCGTTTGCCCTCACATACTCCTCGAAAGCATTTGATGGGAACGCTGCTCCCCGGTCACTTCCTATACGCAAAGGCAAGCCAAATATGTTCGTCCAACTTCTTTTATAATTTTTTCGCAACCAGTAGATTTCAGAGACCATGACGATTATAACATATCATAGTTATTACTGAACAATGCAAAAGTTGTTACCGTCTCGCGAGACGATTATGTTAAGATGTAAATTGTTTTCATCTTCTCATAATAATTTATTTCGCGACAGAAATGATTTACGTCGTCTCATAATAATTATATGGAACTTTTATTGAAATTGAACTTCTTAATTGAGTTCGGAGATTTGACGCGTTAAATATTTAACGTATTTAATATACGTTCCGAGACGAGAAAAATAAAAATCCCATATAATTAATATGAAAAGACGTATATAATTTCCATCTGGAATTAATCGTCCCGCGAGACGAAAAAAGATATTTCTCGTCAATAATTATTATATAAAGATGAAACAAATTTCTCTTAAAACAAAGCGACGTTTTTGATCTCAAATATTAGGATAATAATTATTTTGGGACTCTGGTAGATTTCGTCGTAAACAGCCACACAAACTTTGGAAAGCCATCTACCATAGCAAATATAAACTTGTACTGCGTCCATAGGGCCCAAATGGCCAACGTGCAGCATATGTTAGGGCCGATCTCCTTTGTCGATACAGCGTAGATACCCTTCCTGCCTACCCAATTTCTTATTGTTTATTATACACCTAGCCTACATGTTTTAACTTATCTACAGCTCGATGTTCAACTTCAAGATTAAAATCTTGTAGGTGCAAAATTCATTGGGCTACTTCTCGTGGTATGCCTTTTCCCGACGGCTTGCGTGAATGCTACGCAATCTGTTACCAACGTGAACCTGACACAAAGAAGATAATGGCGGAACCTTTGTATAGCCAAATAAGCTGATCCAATATGTAACTGTGGCGCTTAGAGTGACTTGGCGACGTTTTCTTGCTCCAGAAAAATACAGGGTGCAGTTGTTGGTCAAATTTCTGCCGCAGCGTTGCGCCAAAGCCCTCTTTTTTTTAATTTTTAAAACAGGCTCTCGGCATTGATATTGATTGTCTTATCGAATCTAATTCGGAACCAACTGTGCATAGCCTCTAATGAACTTTCGAAAAAAATCCCGTTAAGCCTAGGAACGACTACACAGCTTTAATGTTTTTCGGCGTGGAAAAATGTCTGAAGGCGTTTGTTTTTTTGCTATCAGGCCAAATTTTGCCATTTTCTACCTATGGCCCTAAAAATCGATCCTTGTCTTTAGAAAGTGGCATTTCTTCCAATTAATCTTAAGGCTAAATCTGGCGGCCACCTCTAAAACCAGCTTCAGCTTTTCTGTGCACTCTTCATGTGTTTGAGCATAGATGATGATATCATCCATCTAAAGCTGCATTACGTCTTGAGTGATCATTTCTTGGAACACGCAATTGACAAAACGTATGAACACCGCGGGGGAGTTGCAAAAGCCGAACGGAGCCCTATTGAACTCATATAGTCCTTCTTTCGTGACGAAAGCAGTAAATTATCTTGAAGGTTCTCTAGAACGTCGTCGATAAGCGGTACTTGGAAGCTACCATACTATTTAATTGACGGAAGTCAACGCAAACTCTAAAAGAACCGTTCTTTTTCTAACAGTTACCACCCTACTTGCAAAAATTTTATGACGATCTGCGCACAATGCCGTTTCTGACGGAACGGTGTGATGTTTCCGTCGGGAATAATCTTAAGCATTACACTCAACATTCGGTTTAACCGGCTGATAGTTGTTGATTAGCGACTGGATCACCGGTTTGAACTGCGATGGTGAACTAATATCTACCGTAATTTCGACCACATCGTGTACTCTTAACTCGTTGACCTCAATGGAGTTATCATCCACTGGCGGCAATGCAAATTTGAGCCCATTTTCATCAATTGTAACGCGAAACTTCGAAACAAAGTCGTAGCCTAACAGTACGTCATACTCAACTTTGCTGTCGTGCACCACAATGAACCGCTGCTGCTTTTCGTTTCTGTCTTGCAGTTTTTCCTTAAATTCTCCGCTGAGCCGCAGTTGAAGCAATGGTTAACTTTTATAGGCGGCATACACCGTGGGTCTGACTCGTGAGTCGGTTTGGATGTGTTTGTGAAAATAAATATGTGTCAGTTACACAGACATGACTCCTGGCATGACTGAATGATTCAACTATGTGTAGTCGACGGGCAGTCAACACGTACACAAATGACTCGCGAGTCAGACGCACAGTGTATGTCGCCTATTACACTTTGCAAACTTTTTTCCCAACACTGTTTGTATGTTGCCTTATCTATCTATCTTCTATCTATATATATAAAAATTAAATGCCTTTCGTATGACGGCGATGCCTGACCAAACGGCTGAACCGATTTCAATTCTGTAAAAAGTACTCTTTAGGACCTTGTGTGGAAGGATTTTCGATTAAAAAAATTCAAAACTTTTTGTTGTTGCCAAAAATGAGGAAAGCTGAGGCGTCACAATTCCATAGAGTTTTCTGTATATTGTATATCACGAAACTACTAAGCGGCTGGACCGACTTGATTAATATTTGGAACATATATCAGTACCTTGCAAAGAAATATTCCTACCAAAAATCTGCTCGCTAGGTGGCGCTAGGGTCGGGATATTTCTAAAAATTCCATTTACTTGCCGATTTGGCTCATATTTAGAACACAGTTTGACCAATTGAAAAGAAATTTTTGGACTAAAAACATACACGATAGGTGGCCCTGTGGCCGAGATATTCCTAAAATTCTTATACACTGGAATAATAACACTGTGAGACAAATGGTAGCGGTCAGTGATCGGGAAGGGTTCAAACTACCGGGGAAAGTTATATCGGTAAAAAAGAAGTTTTTTTGACATAATTCGAGATCCACTAGTCCGATTTTGCTCAAACAAATTTAAAAAAATTAAAAATTACAATTCCTTTAATCTGTTCATATAACGTTTTTCTATATAATCAACAGTTTTAAAAAAATTTAATATTTTAGGCAAAAAATATTTTTTTTCTTCATACATTTATTTTTACCGGCAAAACTGTTGATTATATAGAAAAACGTTATATGAACAGATTAAAGGAATTGTAATTTTTAATTTTTTTAATTTGTTTGAGCAAAATCGGACTAGTGGCTCTCGAGTTATGTCACAAAAAGACCACCAAAGGTGACAATTTCCCCTATATGATATTTATATATATATCTCGATTCCTAGACGTGACCCAGCGAAACGCCGGGACACGTATAACTTGTTTTTGACCGATATAAGATTTCCCGTTGGTTTCATCCCGATTTTGACTGTCGCATAGTGTAATGGATATCTACACATATGCATACATACATACCTCACAATAAAATGTTGAAACCCCTCTTTGGAGAGCACCAATCTCCATAAAACCAACTACGGGGGGGAACTGAAACTTGGCACGGATACATAAATTTTAAATACCCTGTTTATGGCGAAAAGTGGTAGGCATTGTAAAAAGGGGAGTGGCATCTCCCATACAGACCGAAAATCTCATATCGCTTAACTCTAGAGCCGCTTATGCTAACATCCTGAAATTTAAAACAGCAACATATGTTATAAATACCGTACATATGTCGAAAAACGGCAGGTATTGGAAAAGGGGGCGCGGCATCTCCCACACAAACCGAATTTTTCATATCGCTTATCTCTGAAACCGCTTATGCTAACGTCCTGAAATTTAACACAGCTAGATGTTATTAATACCGTGCTTATGTCGAAAAATGGCAGCTATTGGAAAAGGGGGCGTGGCACCCCTCAAACAAACTGAATTTCTCATATCGCTTATCTCTGCAACCACTTATGCTAACGTCCTGAAATTTAACACAGTTACATATGTTATCAATACCGTGCTTGAGTCGAAAAATGACAGGTATTGGAAAAGGGGCCTGGTTTTTATTCAGCTGCACCTATATACATTTATGCAAATGGGTAAGCATCTTTCGATTTTGAACTATTTTCATCTATATTTCTAAATCGCATTCAATGACTGTTATTTTGTTTTTAATTTTGGGAATAGGTAAAGTTTATAATGAAAATTTGAAAAAGGTTTTTCATTTTGCACAAAGTTTGGAACTTTGATTTTTATGACTTTCGTTATAGACTAAAAAAAAAAATATTTTCCTTACTCACAGTAGAATTAAATCTGGAAAAATCAATGGGACTTTGTTTTGACATGAGCTATACATTTGTAATTCATTTAATTTTTATTACTGATGAAAATTCAACAATTTATATTGAGCTCGAGGGCGTTTTTTAAATGAAAATTTATTGTGGAAAAGCAACAATAATTTGAAAAAATGGTAGAAGTGATATCTATTTCGGAAATCACCAAATTTCCTCATCAGACTTCTTTCAGTAGGATTCGAACCGACGATCCCACTGACTCAGCCAGTTGCCTATGCACCGTGCTAAGTACGCCTTGTAAATTATCGTTTGCTTTTTTCCACTATTTTCATTTTTGTTATGCCAACACAATCAAGCGCAGCTATTCCGCTGCAATTCACTTGATCATGTGGTTGTTGGTATTGTTGGTTTTTGCTAATAATTCTATTTTTAGAATGTTTAACTTTTAGGTGTGCTCGTCCTTAAGTTATTTGTTTTTGTGTGCTCCTAAAATTTTTGACTGGCCATGAATTTTATTACTTATTCTTTTGGGGAACATTCAGAAATTCCGAGTTTCCTCGCATCTTTCGATATTAAAAATGCATACTTAATAATTAAAAAACGACCGGGTTCCCGTTGAAATTTCAATGAAATTGGGCCATGGAACTTTAGGCTCAGCGAATTTACTACGGTCTGCATTTTTAATCTATTTATAGGAAGGGTAGAAGAATGGTAAATAAATACAGGGAAATACATCCATATGAAAGTATTTTTCTAATTGAATTACAGAGAGTTGGAATTGAAAAGTTTTTAATTTTTCCTTTTAATGGACTGCAACCTAACAAATTGTGAAACATCGGAAACCATCGACATATCGATGTTTTTCTGCCGATGTATTTTAGAATCGATGTTCATTTTTCCGATGCATATGCATCGAAACATCGATGTTACCCCCAAAATTTGCATCCCTAAGTCTCGCGCAACCTAGTCCAGCTAGTACTAATATATATTTTTTTGTGTGCGCAAAGCTCGATAACAGCTAAACCGATTTTTTTGAAATTTCGGACACCTGCCGCACACGTCCCATACAAACCGAATTTTTCATACTGCATATCTCTGGAAGTGTTCATGGTAGAGTACTGGATCTTGGTATGGAGATATATAACAGGGGTGGGCAATGCCGAGGTAGAAAAGAGCCACATTTAAATTCTAAATGCTACAAAGGGCGAGAAAACACAACAAAAACAAAAAATTTATTTTTAAATAAAACTATTATTAGAAATGAAAAACATTAATTTTATTATTATTCTAATGTACGTAAGATAGATCCCAGAAGATAATTTAGGTAGGCCTTCTTACGTGAAGCCATTCTAAGAGGCCTACCCAAGAAGGGCTGAAAAAGTACTTCCTTGCATGCCTTATAGAAGGGCTTATCCATTTACAATTTACGCGAATGCATAAATTTATATTATTTAGCATTACAAATGAATTTTAATAAACATTTTAAGTTGCAATAACACAAATTTGATATAAACCTTGAGCAAACTCTTCAAAGTAGTATGAATTTTATAAATTATAGAAGCAAGTTTAAAAGAACGCCTCCAAAAGGCCTTCTGAAACACGTCCTATAAAAGCCCTTCTGGAAGGCCTTCTATGGGTAGCGAAAGAAGAAGGCCTTCAATTTGTGCCACTCCATACAAAAAGGAAAGGAGAAAGGAATGTAGAGTGGAAGGCCTCTTGATTCTCAGGAAGGCCTTTCGGAAGGGCTTTTAACTCCTGAAATTATCTACTATTAAAGAAAATTTAAAAGATCAATATTTCCAAATTTTCATAATCTGGTTTTACGTCAGTTAAAGCCGTTCGTAACAGTTCAGTTAAATGTTGGTTAGTCAATAGTCACGTTCGTTTAAAATCTCCAGTAAATAATGTCCAACAGCGAAATTCCGCCGAAATGTCATCTGTTCTCCCACAAGAGAAAAATAACCAAAATAGTACGCGAACAGAAAATTTGCAGAAACTTGCAAGTTAGACGAACAGCTGATAGAAATTTTGTTGACATTCAAAAGTATAAAATTGACAACGTAAGAAAATAAACCCCAACACAGTTCACTGACTAAAAGAATAATTACTTACTTCTTACAAGTTTAATTAGTCGCATTTTACTATTTTAACTTCAAAACCATCAAATTCAATTTAGGGATTTGCTATTATCGGTAAAAGCAAGGGCTATGTCTGTTCTGCCTTCTCGGGATAAGATAGACAAGCAAAGCGAATGGGTCTGGTGGAGAACGAGGACAAAACGAAGTATCTCCTGTCAACAAACAGAGCATACGCGTCTTGGCACACACGTCACTGATGACAGTTACAAGTTTGAAAACTTGTAACGCAAAGAGCCGCATTTGTCTCAAAGAGCCACGTTTGCCCACCGCTAGTCTCTATACTACCTTCCCCGAGTGTGGGACTCCCACCGAAGCGTGTTGGGCTACCCACTAAAACCCAAACTCCCACCGCACGCGCAAGAATCCCGCATCTGGCACCACAATTCTGCATGTCTTCAGATGCAGGAGCGTGCTACTTGAGCCTCAGGGCTGCTCTTTTGTAGGGGCCTTTCATTCGGGTGTGCTCAGTAGACATCAGTCTTTTCGTTTGCAGCGGAGTACGAATTTTATGTATCTCGCAACTGCTTCCCACTTGTCTGCACTGGAGATCATTATAGCCCAAGAGCCAGCGACGGCCAGACCTATGTTATTTTATAAAGGCTGAAAGCTTCTCTATGTATGCCCCAACACGGGTATTAACGAATCCAGACTATGAAATTTGGATAGTGGTGGCTTTGGCAGTTACCAGGTGGTAAAGGTGTATAAAATACCACCTCAAATTCATTATATTATAAAGGTCAATTTTTATATATTTTATTCGTAATAATATTAGAAACTACGTCGTTCATTGCCAGACACTTAGCATGGTTCCTATCCCCTGCCAGACACCCTTAAACCATGATAAATTGTAGTTATACTTTCGTCATCGTATAAAACNAACACGTCCTATAAAAGCCCTTCTGGAAGGCCTTCTATGGGTAGCGAAAGAAGAAGGCCTTCAATTTGTGCCACTCCATACAAAAAGGAAAGGAGAAAGGAATGTAGAGTGGAAGGCCTCTTGATTCTCAGGAAGGCCTTTCGGAAGGGCTTTTAACTCCTGAAATTATCTACTATTAAAGAAAATTTAAAAGATCAATATTTCCAAATTTTCATAATCTGGTTTTACGTCAGTTAAAGCCGTTCGTAACAGTTCAGTTAAATGTTGGTTAGTCAATAGTCACGTTCGTTTAAAATCTCCAGTAAATAATGTCCAACAGCGAAATTCCGCCGAAATGTCATCTGTTCTCCCACAAGAGAAAAATAACCAAAATAGTACGCGAACAGAAAATTTGCAGAAACTTGCAAGTTAGACGAACAGCTGATAGAAATTTTGTTGACATTCAAAAGTATAAAATTGACAACGTAAGAAAATAAACCCCAACACAGTTCACTGACTAAAAGAATAATTACTTACTTCTTACAAGTTTAATTAGTCGCATTTTACTATTTTAACTTCAAAACCATCAAATTCAATTTAGGGATTTGCTATTATCGGTAAAAGCAAGGGCTATGTCTGTTCTGCCTTCTCGGGATAAGATAGACAAGCAAAGCGAATGGGTCTGGTGGAGAACGAGGACAAAACGAAGTATCTCCTGTCAACAAACAGAGCATACGCGTCTTGGCACACACGTCACTGATGACAGTTACAAGTTTGAAAACTTGTAACGCAAAGAGCCGCATTTGTCTCAAAGAGCCACGTTTGCCCACCGCTAGTCTCTATACTACCTTCCCCGAGTGTGGGACTCCCACCGAAGCGTGTTGGGCTACCCACTAAAACCCAAACTCCCCCCGCACGCGCAAGAATCCCGCATCTGGCACCACAATTCTGCATGTCTTCAGATGCAGGAGCGTGCTACTTGAGCCTCAGGGCTGCTCTTTTGTAGGGGCCTTTCATTCGGGTGTGCTCAGTAGACATCAGTCTTTTCGTTTGCAGCGGAGTACGAATTTTATGTATCTCGCAACTGCTTCCCACTTGTCTGCACTGGAGATCATTATAGCCCAAGAGCCAGCGACGGCCAGACCTATGTTATTTTATAAAGGCTGAAAGCTTCTCTATGTATGCCCCAACACGGGTATTAACGAATCCAGACTATGAAATTTGGATAGTGGTGGCTTTGGCAGTTACCAGGTGGTAAAGGTGTATAAAATACCACCTCAAATTCATTATATTATAAAGGTCAATTTTTATATATTTTATTCGTAATAATATTAGAAACTACGTCGTTCATTGCCAGACACTTAGCATGGTTCCTATCCCCTGCCAGACACCCTTAAACCATGATAAATTGTAGTTATACTTTCGTCATCGTATAAAACCTGATTTTTATATATGTCCCTTGGGGAACTATCAAAAGATGTTTCCTCACTTGCCAGACCGTTTCGATAGTTCCTTAATCTTGCCAGACACATTAAAAGTGGTAGGTGCGAGCACGAAGAAACTGATAAAAATTATACGTTTGTTAGTTTCTTATCAGAGTCGGCTGTCTTTACTAGCTGAATTCCAATTTCTAACAAAATTTGTTAATGCCAATGGCTATTCGCTATGCCACAAAGCCCATTTTTTCCAGAATTTGATTAGAAATATAAACGTAAAATTAGACTAAAAATCTATAAAATGAGTTTATTTGAGAAAAAATTCTTTAGAATAAAATGTTCATGTCAATAAAATAAAAAACTAATAAGTTAATTACTAATGTGTTAGACTTATGAACTTTTTTCTAAATTTAATTTATTTAAAATTTCGATATTGTATTACAAATTTATTGTTTACTAAAGGAGCGAAAAATGATTTTCATAACACTCTAGAGAAATTTTCGTGTTTTCAAATGACCCAAAAAAACGCCGACACGTAAATTTAATTTTGGATCCTAGATCATGGATCTGTGTACCATTTTTCCATATAAGATCATTTTCCCAAGATATTTTAATTTTTATGAAAAACTTTGTTAAACAAGGAAAAAACTAAAAAGATAAATCTTTTGAATTTTTTGTTATATGTATTAAAGCTGTCCTTTTGCCAAAAAATCAAGTTACCAACGATGAAAATCGATGGATAAATAAATAAGTTTTGAATGGTGAAATGAAAGTATGCAATAATTTTTTGTATGAAGTAGAAGCGGGAAATAATGTTACTCATACGCCATATCGTGCATGGCCGTAATCGTAAGTACTCGGACATGGCGTATGAGTAACATTTTCTATGTTAAAGTTAAATGAAAATATCTTGGGTAAATTACCGTAATCTATGGTCCAAAATTAAGTTTACGTGTCTCTGCGCTGTTTTCTGTAATTTTAGCGCTCCTTAAGTGTAATAAAAAATTTATTTTATTTAAGCGAATTAAAACTAAACACAACTAAGGCAAGTAAGATTTCAAATAAGCATAATTTTCAACGTCGTCCATATCTCCATTATCGCCATCAATGTCACTCCAGTCCGATTGATCGTTGTCTTCGATGTCAATTTCTGAAATAATTTAACCAAGTTAATACAATTCTGATTTGCCACAAATTTATGTGCATACAATAATTAGACATAATAATTACATACCTGATATACCTGTTAGAGAATCACTGACATAACTTGGTAGCTTTCTGATATACTTCATATTTTTTTAATATTTTATAAGGCTTCATTTTTCCTTTCCTAAAAAATGCAGGATTATAATCACAACCCATGTTTGCATAAAATACAGGCAAGCTTTCACAAATAGATTTCCAAAACTCTGCCTTTGTAAGGTCCACATACCTTAAGTACCATGTACGAGTATTTACGAATACGGTCATATCGTACATGGTATGAGTAACATTATGCGTATGAGTAACATTATTTCCCGCTCCTACTACATAGAAAAAATTATTGCATACTCTCATTTGACCATTCAAAACTTATTTATTTATCCATCGATTTTCATCGTTAGTTACTTGATTTTTTAGCAAAAGAACAGCTTTAATACATATCGAGGGCTTATATTCAATATCCTCTATCGCAATTTTGATCAAAATGAGTTTTTGATGGTAACGTGAGCTCCGATTAATCCTTCAGCCATGACAATAATGTCAAACTTAAAATATAGCTTTAATGGTATTATCAAGGCGAATTAATATAAGGTGATAGCAGGAGTACAAAAGCAAAAATTTACATGTATTTTGTTTTTGCTTTGGCGGCATAAACTGTCAAAATCTGTAAGAGTGTGTGTAGAAATTCAAACAAAATTTTTCAATTTGATATCAGAAGCCGTGCGGCGAAACACATACACAAAATCAGCTGAGCTAGTAACACCACCTTATATAAATTCGCCTTGGGTATTATATTCTCATTTTGAAAATTCCACTATCTGCAATAACATTTTGTTATAAAAGCAAAATCCTCTATTTACACAATTTTGCTGGAAAATTGTTTTTATTCACATTTTTTGTGGCAGGTAAGTTACATGCCTATATATGTATTAGGGATGTCAATCCCGGGATCCCGGAATCCCGGGATCCCGGTGTTTTTGACGTCCCGGAATGGGCAATGTTCGCAATTCGGAAAAAATCGAATTTCAACCCCCCACTACCCATCCCTATTCACAACGCACTTCACCCACACCTGCACAAACGGGAATATCGGCACTAGCCCAAGCCAAGCAACGCAGCGCAGAGCAGTTGACCTACCTTATCCAACAACCCGTACATTGACTCAAACGGGTATTGATAGGCACTAGGAATGCCAATCCCGGGATCCCGGAATCCTGGGATTGGCTGGCATTAATCCCGGGATTCCGAAAATTTTGAAATATCGAATTGATAGTAAGAATTTGTTTATCAATTTTGAAGTATGATTTTTGTAAAAGGCCGTTTTGACTGCAATTAACAAAAAGCTTGAAACTGTACTTTTAAAATGCAGTCTGAGCCTTTTTGGAAGAAGATTTCAGTGAATTTACTCATAGCGACGCTAATGTAAACGAAACAGAGAGTTTTAAGGAAAAGTTAGATAATTTTTTAGATCAATCTACTCAAAACTTCCTCAAATCGAAAAACGAGAAACGTGCTGGTAAAAGAAGTTCAAATATTTTGTAATGGAGGAGATAGGGGTCATTATCTTCAAATGGATTATGTCTACCTTTTGACAGTTCAGCCTAAAAGTGTTGATGCCGAAATATGTTTTTCATCAGTAGGTTTTGTATGTAAAAACTGCAGGTCAAGCTTAGAAGACTCCGCTTTGAATGCTTTACTGCTCTTATGAAAACATTTTAAGTGCAATAATAAAAACACCGGAAATGAGGGGTGTGTGTTTTTAACCAGACCCACCTACCAACATGTATTTCGACCCGCTGAATCCGATTCTGAG